TAAGTACAACCATTATGCCAGACTTTGAAGAGATAGAAATGAAAAAAACACGGCTCCTTCCCTCAAGGGATGCATGGTGTAATTAGGGAGACAGTAAAGAAATGACTAATATTTATTTTACAAATAGCATGTGAGAGGTGGGCACAGAATGCATTGGGGAGCACAAAGAGACGCACCAGCTCAGTCTTACAGATGAAGAAGAGCAGAAAACTTATACGAGCAGGTGATACTTGAGCCCAGTCTTAAATACTGAGCCAGTTGTGGATGGGACGGTGGGTTTGGAGAGGGGAGGATGCATTCTGGGTATGGCATAGTTAAAAACTACCAGGTAGTTAAAAAATACAAAGTCATATAACCATTTATATGTATTGCCCATACTGCAATGTTCCAACACCTGTGTTAGACCAGGACTGTTCCATTAGAAAGTGTTCACCATTCTGATTTGTAATGAGAAAAACAAAGGCAATGCAGTGAGTTGTTAAAATAAATCATGTTGTATCCAATTTTTAAGTTTTGAAATCCTGACTTTACCTGGCTGGTGCAGCTCAGTGGATTGAGCACCAGAGTGCGAATCAAAGGGTTGCCTGTTTGATTCCCAGTCAGGGCACGTGCCTAGGTTGTGAGTCAAGTCCCTGGTACGGGGCTCTAGAGAGACAACCACAGAGTGATCTTTCTCTCCCTTTCTCTCTCCCTTCCCCCTCTCTGAAAAAAAAATCTTAAAACAAACAAACAAACACATAAAAAAACAACCACTGGCCTTTACTGGAGAAGAATCTTTTTGAAAAAATAAAATCATGACCTTACTTAATTTTTGTTATCTTTCTTTAACGAAACAATAGGGATGATATACAATTGTGTCTTAATTTAATATTTCATTTGGAAAACCTAATTTAAAATTAGCAACTCTGATTAAGACACTTTGTTGTTCTTACTGGTTCATGATATTCAAGAATCAAACTCTTAAAAGTATTAGTGGATAGGAATTTCCTGGGGAGCTAAAAAAAAACAACAACGATTCCTTTATATTGCCTTCGACTTAGTGATTTAGAATTTCTGAGGTAGGGGCTTAGGAGTTTGCCTTTTTACCAAACCTCTCAGTTAATTTGGAAAAGCATCCTGATTTGGGAACAAGCCCTCTAGCATGGCTCACCTCACCGGAACAGGTGTTGGATAACCAAGTGTCAAAGGAGTAAATGAGCTCTGGCTAGTGTGGCTCAGTGGATTGAGCACCAGCCTGCAAACCAAAGGGTCACACGTTCAATTCCCAATCAGAGCACATGCCTGGGTTGTGGGCCAGGTCCCCAGAGCAGGGGGGGGGGGGGGCGGGAGGGGCTTGAGATGCAACCACGCATTGATGTTTCTCTTCCTCTCTTTTTTCCCTCCCTTCCCCTTTCTAAAAATAAAATCTAAAAAAAAAGGAGTGAATGAGTGCTGCTTATATAAGCACACATTTAAGGACATAAACTTTACTCTTTTCCCCAACAATCTTAAGTGTACATGGAAGAGAACTCTTAGGAGAAAGTCTGATTTCTAAGAAAACAGAGAAAAACAGGAGGTTATTTTAGGACTTTTTAGTTTCATGCACAAAGGGTGATGAAATGAAAACACAGTACTCTTCAAATGACTTGGTAGCTGACATGAGTATATTTAGCATGAAAAATTTTTGTTTGAGGATTGCAAGACCAGGTACGGGACTCTCAGTCTCATTTAATAAAAAGAGAGTAACATTTAAAAATTAAGAATAAACATTAAAAATCAGGCAATAAACTCCTACTAATGATCCTTTAGTGAACTAAAAATGCATAAAACTTCTTCTAGGACAGAATTTTAGATAGAAACCTCCTTACAGCATTTTCCATATTTCCTTGTCCCATCCCACGATATCAGAGCTCAGACTTGAATAGGCAGTGCCAAAAGTATGAATATATTGGGAAACTGCTCGGAACTCAGATAATTTCACTTTCTTTTTTTCCTCTCAGCATTTAGACTCATAGGAATTCAAAGATCCCTGAGTTCAAGCCCCCAGTTTTGTGGGCAGGGAAACAGGTCCTAGAGGAACTTACAAGTTCAATACCACAGAACAATGCCTTGGGCGGTCACTTGATACTGTTTCCATAAAGATTTTCTTTCCTTTTTTTTTTTTTGGAGATTTTATCTATTTATTCTTAGAGAGAGGGGAAAGGAGGGAGAGAAAAAGGGAGAGAAACAGCAATTGGACCAGCGCACAACCCAGGCATGCGCCCCCGCTGGGGACTGAACGGGCGACCTTTCACTTTGCTGGACAACTCTCAGCCAACTGAGTCACACTGGTCACGGCTCCACACATACTTTCATAGGAACACTTGTACTTTGTAACATGTTGCTTCACCATCCTTTCACCCCTTAGTATTTTCATGATTTCCACTACTGAACATTCATTTTTTATGGAATTACACAAGTGGGTGAAGTGAGACAGGTTTTTAATATTTGCACTTGACAGAGGAGGACATTCCAAATGATGAAGGGCTTGGCTTGCCCAAAGCTATGCAGCTGTACTAGTCAGCTCTGGTTGCCATAATAAATTACTACCGAGTGGGTGGCTTGAACCACAGGAATTTATTTCCCACAGTTCTGCAGGCTGGGAAGTCCAAGACCACAGTTCATTGATGAAAGCTCTTTTCCTGGTCTTCTCTCAATATCTTCACATGGAAGAGGGTACCAGGAAGGGTGAGAGGAAAAAGCAAGCTCTCTGGTTTCTTCTTACACCAATGCCATCATGAGGGCCCTACCCTCAGGACCTTATCTAATTCTAATGACCTGCCAAAGACCTTATCTCCAAACACCATCACCATAGTGGGGTTAGGGCTTCAACATACATGAACTTTGGGGCGGACGCTCTCAAGTTCAGAGCAACAACACTAGGACCAGAACCCAGCCAGCATAACTGGTGTCAGTGTGAGCACCCTGAGAAAGAAGATACCTACTAAGAAGGGCTCCTGGTGGTTAACTGGGCTCAAATTTAAAAAACAAAAACAAACAAAACAGAGCCTAACAGCCATTTCTATAGCGGGTCTCTCACAAACTGCACTATTCAGGGAGAAGCCTGCACTAAACTACTTGCCTCTGCGCTGAACTGCCTGCCTGCACTGTGTTTCTGCCATCTGAGCCAGCCCTTATAAAGGATGGAATCCTATTTCAACCAATAATACTGAGGCTTTCCCCAACCACTTGGAGCTGCACAGCTTCGACCAATCAAACTGTCTCTATTCTGACCAGTCAAAACAGTGCCTTGATTTTGAACCACTCAAACCTCTAGGACTTGGAGTCCTCCTTTGTAAACAGAGGGGTAAGGACCTCTGTTTACAAAGCCAGCTCCCCTGTGGCTCTGGGAACACACTTACCCTTTGCACTAGAGATGGTCACCCTGCTTGAGCAGTCTGGAACACAGCAGCAGTGAACTGGACCAGAGCTGCCCAGCTCAAGACCCGCCTGGACCCAGAGCTGCCTCACAGTGGTGCTGTTTTCACAGCCCTGCTGTACCACCATTGAGCTGTTTTGCACTGAAACAGTTTCCTTTTTCACTGCACCCCAAATTGGGGATTCCTGTCCCTAAAATGTGCTGAGGTCTCCACTGTGAGGGGATCCTGTGGTATATGACTTACTGAAATCTTACCAGTGGTAAGACAAGTAGTGGAAATAACTAGGGGAACAAGGAAGAGCTATAATGGGAAACAGCACTCTGGGGAGTCAAGAGGTGATGATGACACATCCAACCGAGCTGAGGAAGAATGCAAATGCTTTCTACAGGTAAAGATTGGAGAGTGAACATTGCAGGCCTAGGGAGAGCTATACTGGAAAGGTATGGGTTGTGTTTGGGGAATGGGGCAGAGCCTGTTTAACCACCAGGAACTGTGCATGTCAGCAATAAGGCTGGAAAATCCAGTGTTCTCATTGCTCCACACTATTTAATGTATGGACACTGACTCTTTCTTTTTACTGTTTTCTGGGATAGAGACACTGCTCTTTTTTATTTATTTGGTTGAACCTAAAGGGACTAACAAGGACTCTACAGAGGGTAGGTTATAAATCCCATAGTTATTCCAAGAAAACGAAGCCGTGGGGAGGGTGTGCCAGTTGTGAAAAGGGGCGGCAGAACGTGTTCCCAGTTGAAGGGGAAATGCAGTGGAGCAAGAAGGCACAGAGAAGCAGTTCTCTTGCTAGCGATCTTAACCCCCAAAAGAAACATGATCTTGCGTTATACGCAAGAAAGGGAACCTGGGTTTAAGGTCACACGTGGTCCTTGCACCACTGGTCTCCATGGGAGACAGCTAAATCTGGCTAGAGTCTTGGGAAGGAAGGGCAAGAATAAGGCCTAAGGAACAGAGGTCAAAAGCGTGTAAAACAACGCCGAGTACCGCGGTGAAGCAAGGGCGAAGCCAGCTCGGGGCTGGAAAGGGGCGCGCCCTGAGCAGGGATCGGTAGAGAAGGAAACTGCCTCATTTACCCTTCCCCTTTTTCGGGGGAGGGCCTTCGGTTACCCAGCCACGACCGGGAAAACTTTATCCTGTTTTTTTAATTCTGTAAAACCATTTTACAGAACCAAAAAAGAGGGCGGTACCCAAAGGAATCTGAAAAATACCCTGTAAGGGCGGGGGAGCGGGGCGTGTCCGGATCAGGGGGCTGCGGACAGACTGAGCAGCTACGCGCGAATAGATAACCGTGGGGGTGTCGGAGGTCGTTGCGAGCTGCAACCGGGGCTGAGGTAGGTCCAGTGCCCTGGCGACGCACACCCCCGCGCACAAGTCCGGGAGGGGAGGGGCTGTCAGCGAACGGGGGCGGGGCCTGGTGCGCTGCTGGAGAGGGCGGGAGGTGCAGGCTCTTTCGTTCCCTGATTGGGTGTGGGCTGACCAAAAGGCAGTGCCTTGGAGCGGTTCTACAGGCCGGCATTGGGCAGTGGAGAAGGAGGGCGTGGTTTTATGAAGTCAGTTCCGGTCGGTGTAAAACCCCCGGGGCGGCGGCGAACTGGCTTCAGATGCTTCTGGGTCGCGGTGGGGAAGGTTTTAGTTCTCTGTGGTTGAGCTTGAGGCCGAGCGGTAGAGCAACCCGGCGAGCGAATGGCGACCACCGGGACCGGGGCCGCCGCGGCCACGGGCAGGTTCCTGGTACTGCTCCTGCTCGGGCTCACGGCACCCGCCGCGGCGCTGGCCGGCTATATCGAGGTGGGGAGCTCACGAACGCCCAAGCGCAGTGTTTTTCACCCGCCGTGGGAGCGCGGCCTGTGGGCGGGTGGTCTGGAGGTGCGCGCACACGGGGAAGTGGTGGTCCGGCGCTGCGGCGGGTCTGGCACTCCCTCCCCCCCACCCCTGCTTGGTGCAGTGTTCAGCCGTGGAGGTCGGGCTTCTTCGGCCACCGCAGAGGCCAAATGAAAGGCATCGGGGCTGCGGGGGGCGGCGGACCGCCTCGGCCGACCCAGCCCCCATCCCGCCCGCGACCCCTCAGCCTTCTCGAGGGACCCTCCGCGGGCCAGACGCCCACCGCGCCGTCTCCCAGGACGATGGGAGCCTCGGTCTGCAGATCCGAACCTCGAGGCGGCGCAGGCTGTGGGGGCAGCGCTCTGCCCCGCGGACGGTGAGGGGTTTTCCCCTCGGGAAGCGGCTTATGCATCCTTTGTTGGCGAGGTGGGCTCGGTTGTGGGATGCAGCTTTCTAGGTTGGCCCCGTGGAAGCGCTGGGGTGCCGGGCGAGCGCGCCCGGGCTGCGCGGTGAGAGCGCTCTTGCACCGGCCGCTGGTGTCCCTCTGCTTCCTGTTCTAATGCCTCCCTCTCCGGGATGTCCACCGTGCCAGCTTTGAGGCGGCCTTGGAGAGGAATTAGAGCTCTGTGCCTGAGTCTGGTTAAAAGAAGGGAAAGTCCCTCTCTGGTGGCCGTGTTGCTCCCTTTTAAGAGTGGGTTTCCTCGGGTAGGCAAGGTAAAAACTCTTTTTCTGCAATCCTGCTTTTTTCGGTGCCAGAATTTAAGTAGTTCTGATAACCCTGTAAACATCTTTGTGCTGCGAGATGGTTATGTGGCCTGGATTCCTGGGCGATTTGGTGGAGTTGAGGCCGCGGGAACAGGCGAGTCCCTGGGGTCGCTGTGGTTCTGCAGCGTGTCTGGACACCGCCGCTGCACCGCCGTGTCTGAACCTTTCTGTTCGTGCGGGGACGTGGGACTTATTTTTACCTGCCTTCTTGAAATGACCCTTGAGCTGTTGGCCTTGAATGGGTGTTTCTGGTGGTGTCGTTTATATTTTTCCCTCTTCGCTATTTTAAAGATTATAGTTGATTTCTGCCTATTTAGCTAATTTCAGGGAGAAGTGAGACTGGATTTGATTACATAGGCATTGACAGACTTCCTAATAAAAAACCCCAAGTTAGAATGTGTTGTACAGAATGTTTAAGTATTTCCACGGGTAAAATAAATCTAATCAAGACGAACTTTTTTAGATGAAACAGCTGAAAACGTTTGTATTCTGCATAAAGCTTTAGGAAAAATGATTCTTTGGGGGAAAATTATTTAGATTACAGTTACTTTAGCTTACACACAATGGTTAGATTTATATCTTTGATCCTCGGTATGATGTCGCATGAAAGCAAGCTAGGTCAGTGGGTTGGGGGGGTAGGGGGGAAGGATTTTGCATAGAATATAGAACTTAAAGCTTACAAAAAGCATTGTTCACACTCTTACCTCACTTCCCAGGGGTATGAGTAACTTCAGACGACACTAGTGAATTCACTGTAAAGGATTCATCCGTTTTAAAGAGTATTTTCCTTTCAAGTTTAAGCAGAATATGCCTGCTTTAAGCTGGTATGCCTGCTTCAAGAGAAAACTAAGATTTTCAGAATTAGTTGTGTATTGAATTTAGATTGTTACCCACCACATTGTTTGGCTCCCTAAATGATTTTTAAATGCTATTTTCAAATTTTGGTTATTCAGAACTATATTTTTGCCCACACTAAATTATTTTTCAAACGTTTTTTTCTTTTGTCAAGCAGGCAGAATATTATGCATATGTATATACTTTGATTTTATTTACTTGTCGTCAGGCAAAGGATTGCCTAAGCCTTAATTTAGATGAGAATGGCCTAAATCTGGATGTCTTTGGGAAGGTCTTTATTGAGATTAGCCAAAGAGATTCTAGCCAAAGCCCTGATCAAGTTGCTTGGCACAGAATTATTAATTGGAGAATCTTTAGTGTTGCTTGGTGTTGACGGAATTAATCTCTTACACCTGTTTCAAAAGAAAAAACCACCTCTGTACTCAGGGTCACTTCCTTTTTTAAATCCAGGACAAATCCTGCTGTGTGCATGATCCCATTTGGGATTCTCAAACGTATTTGTGCTGAAACTCTGCACTGTATAAAGTGGACACTGAAGCTTCTGAGAGCCAGAACTTGAGTTCTTTCCGCCACATTGGAAAGAAAGGAGGCCATTTGATAGCCAATTTTCAGGGAAGTCAAAGTATGTTCCCTGCAACAGAAAGTAAAGAAGGCTTTATGCTGTCATATTTCTGAGTGGTGGTATGGGAAATGTCTGATTATAATTTGGAGAGATACCAGTGCCTCTGATAGGAATATCAGTCCTTATTTTATCATAACTGTCTTTGAAATCTTTTGGTGAATATGATAAACTGAGTTTTAACAATCAGGACCTCCTTTCATAGAAGGGATTTGTTTCATCATCTAGACCTGCCTGCCCCTCAGTAGCATAGCCACTTGTGGATAATGAATGACCTTGCAGTCGTGCATGGTGTGATGGAGGAATAAATTTTCCATTGTATTTAATTTTCACTTACTTTTACTTTTTAAATAATACTGTTTCCTAAACCTGAAAATGAATGTTTTTAGGCTCTTAAAAATTTTTTTCTTTTACTTATTTTTGAGAGAGGAGAAGGGAGGGAGAAAGGAAGGGTGAGAAACACTAATGTGAGAGGGAAACATTGGTCAGTTGCCTCTCTTTCACGCCCCGCTCTGGACCAAACCCGCATCCCAGGCATGTGCCCTGACAAATAGAACCGGCCACCTTTTGCTTTGCCAGATGGTGCCCAACAAACTGAACCACACTGATCAAGGCTACTTTTACTTCTAAAGACCGATAAATCAGTCATTGGAAAACTTTTTAACTATGTTTGAAACAACTTGGTTATGTGAACCTACTTTTTTAACTGTACATTTTGTGAAATATAAATGCACATCAAGTTTTCGTTTGAAAATTTAGCATCTGTGTGGAGATGTACTATAATTGTAAAATGCATACCAGATTTTGAAGACTTAGTATGAAAAAATGTAAACTGTCTCACTAATAATTTTTACATTGATTGCATTGAAATGATAATATTTTAGACACGGGCAAAGTAAAATATATTAAAATTACTTTCACTTGTTTCTTTTTAATTTTGAATGTGGCTACCAGAAAATACTACATCCAGGGCTCACATATTTCTACTGGACTGCTAATTTAATGTCTTGCTTGCAGTTGGTTCTGCATGTGTTTTATTAGCATAATTTAAAATATTGCTAGTTTTTTGCCCAATAAATTCTTGCTTGAAGTTGGTCCAGCATGTTCTTAAGCGTTTTCTTAGGACAACTTTAAATGTTTATTTTTTCCCTCTATTGATTTTTTCAGTTAAATTTTATTTAGAAATACCTTTAAACTTACCAGGAAAACTGTAGAAATTGTACAAACAACTCTCATGCCCTTTACCCAGTCACGTTGTTAACATTCCCCCTACTAAGTAAGCATTTGCTTTGTCATTAATTCTGTTATGCGTTTTTTGCTGAACTGTTTGAGATTAAGTTGCATACATCATGCCCCTTTACCCCTGAAAACTTCAGTGTGTGTTTAAGAAGCAATGGCATTGTCATACCTACCCTTGGAATAGTTATTGATTTAAGGAAATTTAATGTTGATACAATACTTTAATTAAATCAAATACTGTCTGTATTCCAGTTTGTCAGTTGACCCAATAATATATTTTTTTTAGATTTTATTTATTTTCAGAGAGAGGGGAAGGGAGGGAGAATGAGAGGGAGAGAAGCATCAATGCGTGGTTGCCTCTTGCACACCCCCCAACTGAGGGAGGACCTGTCCTGCAACCCAGGCATGTGCCCTGACTGGAAGTCAAACTGGTGACCCTTCTGTTTGCAGGCCGGTGATGCTCAGTCCACTGAGCCACACCAGCCAGGACCCAATAATGTTTTATAGCATTTGAAAACATAGTTATTTTTTCAAGTTAAAGAGCTTTAGAATTTTTGGCAGTAATATGTGAAGGGTTATTAATTTTTACCAAATATAAAAATCAGATTTTTAAACTTACCTGATATTTTTGACTTTGGAAAATTAAAACTTAAAATGCTTTTCAAGATTCTTTAATTATATTTATTTACCCTTGTAAAATTTGCAGACTTACGCATTTTCTTTTTAAAATGAGAGAATAAATATATAGGTAGTGCTGTTCATTGTAATAATAAAAAAAATACATGTGGCCCTGACCAGTGTGGCTCAGTTGGTTGGCTCAGTTGGTTGGCCGTTGTCCTGCAAACCTCAAGGTTTCCAGTTCGCTTCCCAATCAGGGCACATGCCTGGTTTTCAAGCCAGGGCAGGCCCCCAGTTAGGGGCTCACAAGAGGCAACCTGTCAGTGTTTCTCTCTCTCTCTCTTTTTCCCTCCCTTTCCCTCTCTCTAAAAATAAATAAATATGTTTAAAAATGCACGTAAGCATAAGAAGTGAAAAATTACGCAAAGTCATATCATCCAGGGAAACCTCGAGGTAAATATTTTGGTGGCGTGTGTCCTGGATTATGTCCGGTGCACAGCACTCCATAAAATGGCATGTATCACACAGTGAAGCCTGTACCTAACAATTATTATTTTGAATTGTCCTAAAACGAACTATTAAAAGAAAATAAAGTTGTCTGTGTGATTAAGAAGTAGGGATAAATGTTTGTATGGTAACTAGTCTCTACAGGGGGGGCATTTTGAGAAAGAATTCCCAGCCTCCCACATTCCAGTTTTCATGCCTTGTTTTTTCAAAAAGTGAGATCAATTAGATTCCTTAATTATTTTTACTGTAGCGCACCTTGATTTATGGCCTGAGGTGGAAGGTGAACCATGCAGGTGCATTCGAATAGAAATGCATTCCAGTCCTTTGTATCAAGTATAACTAATAAAATTACTTTCGCTAAGAG